TAGTCTATCATGTTACAAAACAGTGGAAATATGATATTTATATCATTTCTTGACATATTTTCTTGTAAACATTAAATTTACCTCATCTACAAGTGCTTCTTCAAGTTTAAGCATGTTATATATAGTTTCTCCAGTAAATTTACCAATGATTGTATGTTTATTCTGCACATCTGGTGTAGACCTAAGAGTAAAGAAGAATTGGGGACCATTGTCATCCTTTCCAGCATTAGGCATAGCAATTAAATCTCGTCGACAAAAACGTAATCTCGTATGAAATTCCTCCTAAAACATATATATCCAATAATTATTTTTTAATAAAAAAAGAATTCATTTCGTTTTTAAATATAGTCTCACTTTAAATGGTTCTCCATATATGCTTTTACCACCTTCCCCTGTACCTGTGAGATCATTTCCTCTTCTCACTGCTTTCATTCGAACCTCTCTCTTTTCTTTATATACCTCAGCTCCATCATTCTGAAATATAACATATTACTCTGGTCAACAACATTTCTCTATGTAAGAGCTTACATCTAATTTTCTACATTTATCATTTACCAACATTCAGACTCTATATTCAATTTATCTTTACCTTTTCTAACTATTACCAAGTGTTCATTCTCTTCAATGATCCTCATATTTCCATGTTGATGCTACACATTTTTCTTTGTTGATACATATGCTGCCTCTTTTCTGTTTCTTGATTTGACATAATAGACATTTCTTCTTCTCACTGCTTTCATTCAAGCCTCTCTCCTTTCTTTCTATACCTCGGCTCCATCATTCTAAAATTTAAAACATTGGCAATGATCATTCACTTTGATCACTAATATTAATATCTATTTAGATCAGGAATACAACATACCTTTCAGTCTCACTGTATCCTCTATATCTTGTTGTTATAAGAGGCCATGACCTAAATTAATTTTATTTCTTTTGGTCTGCCTAAACCATTTCCATTTTGAGTAAATAAATCTTAAATAAATAAATCAATTTTAAATCTTTATTTAACCATCAAAGATTTCTATGTTGTATGTCATATGGTTAACTGGCCTAGAATCGAATAGACATATCATACCTTACATATTTGTATTACTGCTTCAATTTTTTCTCGCTATAAATTATAATTCTTGGCATCTAATGGCTCTATGGTGGTGATATTCCATGAGTCCAATATTTTTTAATTATTGCATGTGCCTGTTTATTTCAATGGAATATTGTCTTTTCACAACCAAGTTCTGCTATCACTAATAAAAGGTGGAAAAACAATGGCTCGTAACTTACGCTATTTAATTATAACTGAAGCTTATATTAAGACAAATACTTACATTCTTTTCGTGATGCAGACACACCTGCATGGGCACAACAATGCTTCTAATGTTTGTTTGCAATTTTTTCTCATTTTCCATGCACTCTTCTGTTCACTTGGAGAAAAATTAACAAATCACTTAATTTCTGTGATTATTTATAACCTTTTATAATTGCACTGTAAAGGCGTACGTTTGCATATTTGTCGTCTGCCAGGTAAAGAAATGAATGCTGAGTGTCTAATTGAAACCACTGTTTGTCCTGAATTTATTAAAGAATGTTGAAAACTTTATGGGATCCTTAAATGAATAAAAAGAAGGGAAAGGAATTTGTGTTAGTTATTTGTGTTGTTTTATTGTTATATTTATTTCGTCCATGCGTCACGTGTATTTAGGTGACCTCCAGGCGCAATCTATGTTCTTTCTACCTAATCCGAGCTTCGAGTTCAAAATCATAGATGACACTGATTTTCTTTGAATAGGTTACTAACTCTGGTTTGTGCTCCTGATACTTTCTGATAAACCAATTCGGCAATAGAAAATTAACAAATTACTCAATATCTGTGATTAATTTATGAACTTTTATAATTGCATCGGAAAGGCACATCTTTGGCGAACTTTCTAATATAATTTTGGAAATTAATTTCTGCGTAATTAATTTATTATTAATAATTATTTCCCACAGTTTTTGAATTCTTGCCGTGAATACTAATTGTTTTTCATTAACTACTATCTTCTGTGCAATCAATTTCTGAACTTCGTGCACTCATTATAAAAACAGTGTTCTTGCGCATTTTCTCATATTATATTTAGTCTCATTTTATATCTAGTTTAGATCATAATTAAATATTTTAACGAACAAACATGCCGGTCGTTGCTATAAAATCACGCACGCCATCAAATAATGATTAATAGCAAACTAATTAGCAACAAATTATGTACGAAGATTATATAAGAATGTAGCTTAAAGCTCTAGCCTTGCGATGCATTTATAAAAGTACATAAATTAATCACAGAAATTAAGTACTTTGTTAATTTTCCACTGCTGAATTGATTTATTAAAATATATCAGGAGAACATAAGCAGAGTTAGTAATCTGTTTGTGTTATATTAGTGCCATCTATGATTTTAGACCTGAAGCTCGAATTCAGTAACTTGAGCACAGATGGCGCAAGAAGGTAGTCGATAACCTTTGCATATTCTGTATTCGAGTTCTGAGTACGAAATTATAAACGGTGCTAATCGAATGTGGCTTGATCTTGTCCATCACATTGAAGGTATTAACGGGTTGTATTATGGGCATATTAAGTTTATATTTTAAACAAAATATAGATTTTTTGTTAATTATAATTGCATTCGCAAGTTTTTCACTCTTTTTATTATAAATAAACTTTTAAGCTATATTAAAAATAAAATAAAAAATTTTCAATACAAAATTTAATAAATATATTTAAGAGAAATGTACACGGAAGAATTAAAAAATACTAATTACAAACATGTAGTATAATTACCTTATAAATACTGAAAGGTGCTACATGTATATAGTTGCATGGCATTAATAATGACAGATATATCGTCAACACGAAGGATGTGATTATAGGCGGATATAGTAAATGGATCTTGACTGCAAGAGTTAATTAAATGCATGGAGTTTTTACAGAGCATTTTATTCACTGACCATTGCAATTATACTTTTTGAAGGTTTCAATGTTTTCATTATTGTATAAATCGATTCTTTATTTTAATTGCAACTTTGACATATCATAAACATATAAATTTATGGTTACATATTTTTCTGAATTCATTATACAGACTTGTCTTTTCTTTTACGTTCATTAAATTTTTCGCTTAAATTCATAGGTACAATATTGAAATTACATATGATATAAAAAAAATTTTTGTTTGCAAAGATTCTCTTTCCAAAGATTTTCCAAAGCTGAATAAAATTCTCAAAAGTTAAAACCCCTAAATTAATCTTTTTATTTTATAACACAGCGTTCATTATGTAAATCGAGCGAAGTTTAATAAGTATGTACAAGAATGACATTTTATGTACACCCATTTGTCACATATTAATCACAAATGTATTTGCTCACTTATTTAAAATAATCTCTTTTAGAAGTTCTACTGGTTAAAAAAGATAAATTAAATTTATATTTTTTACTACCAATTTTCCACTTGATTTAGTATTCATTCTTTTAATATACTTTCCTTATCGATTCAAGGGAAAATTGCAAACGACCATTTGGAATCACCACGTCTTAGTGCAACGAAAATTTGTTTCCATCTTCTACCAACATCTTACTGTGTTTGTAAGAAGAAAAATTTACACGCATCACTCAGTCCTTATTTTTAATAGTAAATTTACTTAGGTAGAATCTTTGTGCGTGAACATCGATTTCGTTATACTTAAAGCCAGTCTATATTATAATAACAGTTCATTGATTTTGACAGTGCCCTAATATAAACTATACAAAGTATGAACAATTCACACAACTTTCTGTCAATCAATTTTGGAGGTAAACTTATTCAAATCAACTTGAGTTCCAAATTGTATTGCAAAATAAAAAATTACTTTTCATTAAAAGTTGTTCTACCTAAGAGATGATATGTTTAGTCAATAGTAAATTCTTCAGAAACTACTTTGGAGAAAATCTTCCATCACTTGGTCGTGTGTCTCGCCCATGTAGTCCTTTGTACTTCGGACATCAAATCATTTCTTGGAGGCAAACGAGCGCTAGTTGTGCGAGACGGCGGTGGACCAGGAGTTCTGAGGATGGTTGTTAAGTTTTTCTGATACTGCGAATTTTTCTTATTCGAACCTTGACCATTCAAGTTTTGTTTGGCAGCTACCTGTTTAGACGTTTCCTCTGATCGTTTACCCTGAGGCGGGGGATCCAACACGATTGGTGGTATTTCATCATGTACATTCATTCGATCCTGCTTACCCTTTGTTTCCTGGTCCATATGGCTAGCATTCCTTTCGCCTGTACAAGGCAAAGGTTTTATGAATGTCGTCTTCAACTCTATACTGTCTGAGTTTCCTATATAATTATCTAGCTTGTGCGTCAGTATGGGTGATGATGAAAAACTGTTTGGCTGGGAGACCCTTAGTGACATGGAACTTGGAGACAGTTGGGCTGAACTCTGTAAATTTAAAATATTGTAAAACTTTTGATAGATTTTGCTAATACATATATAGTAATCTACTTACAGGTGATCTATTGTTAGGAGGTACAAGAAGATTAGGACCGATTGTATAAGGAGTAGGTGTATTATAAGGTGATCTTTGAGATTGATATGGACTTATGTTGTGTAGCCTTTCTAAGAGTTGCGTTTGAAACTGCAACTGATCTGCTGCACTGCTGTTCCCTTGGATGCCTATTGTATTCAAGTTCCCAGGGAACCAAGAGTCTGGTGGATAAGAGCAATACGGAGATGGTGGATCCAATTCCCATGGTGAACTTTGTCCTCCTGTTCGTTGGTACTGTTTGTGAAATAATATTAAAAGATTATTATAGAAAATGTACAAAAGTGCAAGTCATTATGTTAAAATTATTTATTCTATTTAAGCACCAGAATTTGCATTCAGTTCTTAAGCATTTTATTTTTACTTAAATTTGACAAAGCAAAAAATATTTAATTTTAAATGTTAAGAAAAAATAATATTTTATTACCTGAAGTTTAAAATTTTTTAAAATTTTGATACATGCTTCATAAAATTTTAAAAATTGGCAACTTTACCTAGCATTTGTTGGTAGCACAAAGTCCAAAATCCCGTGCGAAGACCTGTTACATAACATCGTCACACCGGCGCTTAGCACGATTATTGGATTAGCGATTTAGCTTTAACGTCAGCATTAAATTGTTATCTTCCGGGCGAGCAATTTAGGACGAAACGTGTCGTTCATAAGCAATACTATATTCACGCATTTCAAAGTCTAACCGCTCATACAGTTTCCTTAAAAGGATTAAAAAGATCGTTTGTGAAATCTGGTTTAAATCCATCACACATATCTTAACAGATTTTTTCCACAAAGCATAAATGATAGGATTAAAATTTGACTCGGATTTCAAAAGTTTAGTAATTAGCATTTATAAATATAATGCATCTTAGCATTTTAATTTTGTTGGATTACAATTTGAGCAAGTTTCATTTATATTAATTAAATTATAAAATAGAGTTTCTTGATGCAAGTAGCAAGTATTCATTTAAGAATTGATTCTAAGTAACAACTAGGAATTCCATTTCCAAATGAACAAGGAATAACGAATACTAATTACTTACATTCAAGTATCTTAGTTATACTAAAACATAGGCATTCTTTAACGCAAAACGAAATCGAAAAAAAAAGAATAAACATAATTAATAAGCATGCAAAAAAAATAGGGTATTCAATTTGAATTAGCAAATACTTTCGTGCATATGTTTGTAAGATCTTATTTAAAAAATAGAACATCTTATCTTATTTAAAACAGAACGCAGTCAACTGACATAAGCAAAATGAAAAACAATCACAGTTTTAATAAATTCAAAATATAGAAAGCAGCACGCATTCTTAATGTTATATTAAACAAACTATAATATTTGTAATATGTCCCTTGATATAAATATAATTTTGTCACATATCACTTGCTTGATGACAGGTACAAAATATAAAAATGTGCATAAATCGTTTTATTAAGAAATTCATTTAAAAAATGCGTCAGTACAAAAAGCGTTACGGTATCAAAAAAAAAAGAAAAAAAAAAAAAGAAGAAAAGAAAACAGAAGTACAAAATACAATGCTAAACTCTAATCGAAATGTAACGTTTGCAGGCATACGGCTTATTGGCTGTTGAACACTCGTGTCATGGTATTCGGTAGAGCGTTACCTGGCCGAGGTTTGACAAATCTGGAACAGTGGTGGTTTGTTGCATTGTTGCTGAACCAGGCAACTGAGATTGTGAGGTTACATGACCACTCGAAATTCGTTCCTGTTCCCGAAGATGGCCGACCAACGCACTTATGTGTTCTAAAAGCTCTTTATTTTGCATCAGTAACTGATGCGTTCTGGCCTATAGCAAAAATAAAACATACAATATAGTATCATTCATTCTTTAGTGTTTACTTGAAGTAATTTATAACAATGATCGACATCTTATTAATATAGTATATATTACTTACTTGAGCTTCGACGCGAGCTGCCGTTTCAGCTGCAAGCTGATCCTGAAGCAGTCGCGCATGGGCAACGGCGGCTCTGGTTTGTTGACTTTGTTGCTCTAATCGCTCTCGTAGCAATTGAATCTCGTGCTTTAGAGCAGTTAATTCGCCTCCAACCAATAACCCTCCACAATCGGAGGTCACCGTGCCCTATACATAACGTTATTCGATTATTGGTAAATAAACTTACGTTCAACATGTATTACGAAAAATTGTACGGTATGATTAGATATCTTTAATAATAGAATTTACCGATGGCGATTGTCTAATGGGCGAGGTAGACGCTGTGGTCGCTGGGACTTCGTGTGACCTTAAGAGACACGGAACAGTTGTCTGTTCCGGCACCGAATCCTCCGTGTCCCCTAAGAGCGATATATCTGAAATATTTTTCATCGTATTAATTTTCATTCAGAAAAATTATCGCGACAAAAAGTGCATTAAATTTAGAAGAATTGTTTAAATTTCGTATCTTCCAATATTATCATAAGAAAATTGAAAGCAAAGAATAACAAAGGTGTTAAAGATAACCAAAATTGTTAATGCGCCAACAAATGTAAAATGGTGGAAAGTAAAATTTGTTGTTCAATTTGAAATAGGTTGCTTTTTGTAATTAAAAAGAAGCTAGGATGTTAAACCTTTATGCACAGAAGACGGTGACGGTTGCGACTTCTCATTCGGTATTTCATCTTGGTCCTCGTAAACGTCACGATGATTCTCACTGTGCTCCCTCTCTCTTTCTTTCTCCCCCCGGTCCCGTTCTTCCGTGGCGTTGTTTAAACTTAATTTATGGCACACCTCGAAAGCCTGCCCTACCGTTCTGACCACCCTCTTCGTGGCACAACATGCAGAAATTCAAGTGATTTTGATGACATTAACTGACATCAAATTTCAAGTACTAAAAAGTAAAAATTCGATACGAATGTAAAATTTTCTGTTTGTTAAATGTCGGAAAATTTTTAAATATTTAATATCCAAATTTTCAAATTTTTCATTTTCAAATCTTTGAATTTTGGCTCTCGAGCGCCTCGTGTTTCAATCTCCAAGCAACATAAACCTGTAATACTCAGCATTCGTTAACTTCCACCAAACTAATTCTAACCTCAAACCCAAACCGCAGGAATTCCATTATGACACTTTAGTACATCAATATTCAAATGTTCACGTATAGTCATTTCTGTCGAAAATTACAATTTAGAAAGAAATTCCCTTTCCAATCTAAAAAAGAAAAAAATGTCGGTCAAAAAAAGGAAAAAAGAGCATGAAAAATTGAGGGTTATACGTGAATAGCAGTTAAGACATCCTATATTTTATTCCACCTCAGTGTTTTCCACCGTTCACGACATCCCGGGGCTCTTTCTTTTTTTCGCGTGTCAGCTACAGGAGCAGGACAACCTTATCCCATAAACAGCATTATTCGTAAGCATACACCTTTACCTCGAGCTCCTCGAGGTCATCGTTCTCCTCCTCGAAGCGGTTCTCATCGAAGCTGAAATCAACGCTTCCTGGGGAACGTGTCAGCTGGAGGGGGGGCGGTTTCGATTTTCCAAACGGTTTTTTCAATTTCAGGTAGTTGAATATTTCAGGCTCCTTGAACGACAGTTTCTTCCTGGGCTTCGGGGTGGTCTCCACACCGGAAGGACTGGTCGGGCCGGAACTAGGCAACACTGCCGCATCAGAGTTTGTTTGCTTGGTCGAGTTCTTCAGCATGACTTCGGTGTGTATTACCGCTTTTATGATTAAAGTTTTATTTTACAGATTATACTGTTGCATATTCAGAAAGCACTATAGATGTATGTCATGGTGAAAATGATATTCGTATGGAATTTTATTTTTATCCAGTATCGCATATGTTGCATGCCTTTGTGCTCTTATTTCGTTGGATTTCGTTTCACGGTTACTTTATCAGTACGAATATATTAATGATTACACAATTTTTCTAGTGCCGGAGTGCAACCTAAGTAATAAATTATAAATTAGGAATTTGTACTTAATTAAATTTCGATTTATAAACACAGCTTGATATAAATATAAGGTATAAAAAAATGTTCGAACCTATTATCACAAACTCATATAAAATCGAAAAAATAAAATACAATCTGATAACGACAAGTACTGTTATTTAAATTAAATACACTCAGCATTACATTATTTTAAATACAAAATTCTGTACCAAAATCATGTTCCTCATTTTCTTTATTCAATTTAATCATCAGTCCCTTTATCGCAAATAAAAATAATCTATTAAAAGTTCTATTCTCATGTCTCTTCAAAGCTAGTTTGAATCTTTTACAACCCCCCACAAACATATAGTACATCTACTAAAGGTTCGTTTCCAATTTCGAGTATTTCGTTCGACCAATTGGATCATCGTCGTAATACTACTTTCGAAAGTATCTGATTCTCGTACGCGAAACGGAAACTCGAATAACCGCGAATCACGTTTCGTAGATAGCGATAAACGATCTAGCGAAATTTATTTCGAATACAAGCGCCGCCGAAGAATCGATATTTACGTGTTGTAACATTCCCGGATGATTCCATTTATAAACAGGCCGGCAGACGTGACCCGACAACTGGCAAACTCCCCGATAAATCTTGCTCTTGCTTTAGAAACTATTACGGACCCACGTCGTTAACACAGCTACACAAGAGTTTATTTGCTCCGTAGCTTGTACGACCGGCGTCGCAAGTTGCGCTCGCAACGCACTCTCGTTTCATTCGAGGAATTAATCTCGACGTGTAAATCTTCGTCCATCGTAACGTTTCGAGTCATCTTTTGTGTGGGTTGCAACAGTTATTTCGAAATGATAATGAACAGAATTACTTACAAACATTTCTGCATTTTATAATATTCTGTTTTTTGTACTTTTCTTATCCTTTGGGAAAGAGTGTTTTCGAATGATATATAAAGGATCTAACGAATATCTTTCGTTATACGGAGTAAATTTTTTTTGTAGGTTAAGATTGTTTACATTCTCAGTTCTTTAACGAATAAAAATTTTTCTGCAGAATTTTTTCACGATAAATGATATTTCATATTACATAACTTCTTTTGCAGGTTTGCTAAATTGTTGATATTAACAATTACAACAAAAGACGAAAACACAAAAGGACGAAAAACGTTAATTGCATTACTTGCATGCTGGTAAATCCACTAGTCATTCATAAATCTTGAACTTGACCCTCAGATTACGGTCATTAGTGATAACGCCGCGTGAGTGCGTCGCTTTGATTAGACGAGCGTGCGTAACACGAGTGAACATGCTCCCGCCGGTGATTAAGTGGCGACTTGATAACACGCGTTTCTTTCAATTAAGCGCACGCGAATGCATTTAAAGACGTCTTGCTTATATTAGCATAATTATGATCATTTATCAATATCACGTCTTATACTTTTTACATTTCTCGTTTATTTCATCATATTCATTTATTATTCTTTTTCATTCTTTCTTTCCTTTCTCCTTTCTCAGGTTTGTTCTATGATCAAGTGTGAAGAGACGGGGAAGATAAATTATTGTTAACAAATTGGTGAGTATGTTGGAGAGAATTGTTAATTTTATTCATTGAACGATAACGATTAAGTAGAATAAAATTAAACAAAATTGAAAATAAAATGACAAATTGAATTATGTTCTTCAAACAGATATTTCGTTAGATATTCGTCCATTTTTGAAGCTGATTATGGCAACATTCTATCGATAATGTTTATGTCGATAAGTTCAAGGATATGGTGTAACAAATTTATTATTAATCGACGATTAGAAGATTAGGTAAATGAGGCGAAACTAACTCAGAGGACCAGTGAAATGGAACAAGAACACGTGGTCTAAACCAAATAGTTACAACGTCTAAACAGAACCTTTAAATCCTTTGATCTTCCATCTACTGTTTCTTGTTTTAAATTGAAACTAAAAAGAAACACAGAAATGGATATGCCGAGTTAATAATGTATACCAAAAATATTGAATTGTTTCTACATAAATAGGCTAAAAAGTAATGTTTGAAAAATCAAAGGAGAGATTTTTAACGAACGACTAATTTATGGTTAACAAAATCTAGAATTTGAATAGTATTTGAATAAACAACTTTTAAAAGTATCAATCAATCTGTTTCGATGTAACAATTAATTCAATCATCGGTATATTGTTTCAGCGGGCGGAAACAGAATCGTAAGAAATCAAAGGCTTCCTTTGAAAGATTTGTTTTCTGAAAACTCTATAAATACTTGTCGATTTTGAAGAACGATCATGACTTACTATTGTAAGAATTGGCACAGTTTTATTGTTATTATCAGCTATGTAAATGGGTAATGTTAATTGGGTGCGAAGGAAATAATTATTTATAAAAAATAACGTATAATATTAATAGGTGATGAAGTAAGAGCACAAAAGAGGTAAACACTGAAGTTCAACAAGCAACGATAATGGCAAATAGTACCAAACGCTGAAATTGTGACGCATCAATCACTCAAGATCAATTTGTCATCTTTATGACCACTTAACGATTGCGGCATTTACGTGCCGTTTCGAAAACGAACAAATGGATTATCAATAATTCATTCCTCACCCATAGTGTAACACTACCTATATTTGTTAACGAGAATAGATCACCAAAATCGATTTTCAGCTAAGCGTTTTTTTTAACGTTGCTAAAAGTTTTGTAGACGTCACTTACAGAACAAACTACTTTATTTATCAATGACATAGTTAAGATTATTCGGTCGCGGTCGTTTTAAAATTTGCTCAATATTTTTCGTCTCCAAGTTCAATTTTCCTTTTCAATTTTTAGAAACTATAAATTAAATTTAGAGTTTATTCGTTAGGATTTATTCAGTCTTATTTTAATTATCGAATTCAGTAGTTTTTATTAATATCTTTTTGTAACAGTTTTGGAATTTGGTTATTTAAAAAATTATTAAAGCCTCTTTTAATATTTCATTTCTCATGATTCTTTCTTAATTTAATGTTGTAGTTTTTGAATAACATCTCTATATTTTCTGATTAAACTTTTCCAATTTTCTTTCTCAAGATACACTCAGTTTCTCATCTAAAATTCCTTCAAGTCCTACTTCACTACTTTTTCCACACTTGCACTCACTTTTTCGTCCAACCTGCTTTCTGAAGATTCTTCTACTTCCACTCTAGAACTCTGCTAACTTTCTGCTTTCCGTACCAATGCAAACCTCCTTCCACGAATTTCCTTTTCTCTTTCAAACTTTTCAGATTCTCTTCAATCAATTTTATCAATCCCAATAAATCTTTCCAGAATGTTTTCTGCTCTTTAGTTATTACCAAGCTTTTTCTTCATTAATTCGTTTTATTTTCATAATTTCTTCTTTCTTCACTCTTCTATGTTATCATTCTATTTACTTCTTCCTCTCACCATCTGTCTTCAGCTCTCCTTTAAATCGTCGTTCTGTTTTTTTCTTCCCTTCTACATCATATTCTATCCACTACCTTCTCTTCTCTTCGTATTACACATTCACACCTGCTTTCCACTTTCTTCCCTTTACCTTTTTAAACCCTGCTATCCACTACCCACCACTCATCTCGTTACAGTTCATTTACTTCATCCACCACCACGAATTTGGTTGCGACGCGTTCCAAAAGACGCGAGGACCAAACGAGACTCGTATGCGGCGGCGTGTTCTCGAAATACTCAAAAACGACCAGTATCTCGCCACGGCAGCCAGGTGGAGCGGAACTAAGCGCCGTATGCCTCTAGTGGATCACTGGCCAAGCGATAGCCTAGCGCCAACGAAGCAGAAGCGTCGCCACACGCGCTTCGGCTCGCTGGATTTTTCCTACGGTTTATTTATAAGCACATTAATATTCTCGCTTTCGTGTAGCTCAATGGCATTTCCGTGCCCATCCACCACGAACGTGTGACGAAAACCTTGATTCTTTCAACATGCTCTTGTATACTATTCGATGTCGACCCGGCGTGATGGGTAGGGGTCTCGTGACTTTCTTAGTTATTGCAGGGTTGTAAGAAATTATTTGGAACGTTTCTATAGCGAGGACTTGACATTCTTCTTTATCGAAGAAGCTGATTCTGATCTTACTGAACTTAGTATGGATCTGGAATTTTTGTTCCTATTTAATTTCAGTATTTTCAAAAAGAAATAGCTTTGGAAATATTTAAATATTACAATTTGATCATTCATTTTCTCATTTCTCTGCATTTTCTTTTATTCCTTGTAATTTTTTCTTATGCTGATTTCAATCTTCCCTTTGCGATGGGAAATTGAATTTTTCTTGGGGTATTTGGAACTACTTCTTGTGCTAAAGTTCTTCAATTTTCTGTTAAAGAAAGAACATACTGTTTTAATACCTTTAATATAGCCCCTTAATACTTTTCAATTAGCATTGATATTCTTTAAAAAGGGAAGAAAAAACAGTTTTTTAAAAAATTGGAATGTCTGTAGTATTCTAAGCACACAGTTCGAATTCCTTCCTCGTGTTGATTTGTTTCTAGAACTATATACAACTTCTAGTTTCGTTTTGTCAAGCTCATTCAACTCATGCTTTGCTTATACATGTGCACCTTCGTTACATTCCTTAATTAGCCTTTGCTGCTATAAAGAAATTCAATCAATAACTTGCTATGTCAATCTTCCATTCAGTTTTAATGATACCATCATCATTTTAATGCTACTCATTGAACACATATTTCATTCTTCACATACATATATATTTATCAGAATTATTTATCCTCTTATCCCATAAACCACAGACTTTGTTTCATTCAATAAATTCATCCCTGCTAACCACAAATCCAATCTTCCAATCAAATGGTACACAATGCAGGTATGAAGCAGAATAGCCCTAACTCTATTTCAATTTCTACAACCATAAACACCAATCTGATAATCTTCTCCAGTACCCTCAAGAACTAGCCCCGTTTTCCACCAAAAGTGCAATTATGTACATATATAAACCCACAAAGACTAGTTTTAGGTTCGAAGATCAAAAGAATATTCGCCTGAAACTCACCTAATCGTCACTAAATATAAACACTAACTTTGTACAATCTTCCTCAATGATTTACATCCTTTTTATTCTTCAGCAACCCCGGCACAATCCACTCCATCCATTTTTTCTCTTCATCCACTCTTCTGCAACTTCTTCAACCACTTTGTTTTACAATGTTGTTATTTCCCTCAGCATTTCCCTTAGTAATTTCGTTATCTCCCTCCACGGTTATTACTCTCAGTTTGTTATCTTCAATTCCCTCCCCTCCGACTTTCTTCATAGCTGACCATAGTCTGTGTGTTTCCTTCAGCGACCAAGCTGTTCTCTGCTTCTCTTCTTACTGCTGCTCTACCTCTTCTGCCGTTTCGAGAATCAAAGAGAGAGAGAAAGAGAGAGAGAGAGAGAGAGAGAGAG